AGAGAGAGAGAGAGAGAGAGAGAAGAAAGATAGAAAGAGGTGTATTCGTAGCTCTCCCTGTTAGTTGTAATTGAACGGACGCAGCTGTGCGCTCTACGTGCTCGTAAAACATTAATGACCTATAGCCGCTGACGATCGTTTCGCGTTATTATTCCTCAAAGTCAGAGCCAGGCCGCGGCATGTTTATCTCTGCATTTTCAATTTTCTTGATCGTGGGTGAACCGGCTGGATGCGCGGACAGGATGAAAGCGTAATGACCACGGTTGTGCTCGAGAGATTGTGCTCCTAGGGAAAACGGGATTCTTGTTAGAACGCGTTGTTTAGCCACGATTGCAGAGACATTTTTGTGAACACTTTCAACTAACTTTTTTTTTTCTTCGTTTAGAATTAAGAGAGGAAGTTAAGTTTGGATTATTCATTACTCTTGCAAAATTGTTGTGTAAAAGGATTTCAATATTTTAATTTTACCAGTGTTTGAAATAAAGATGGAAATAAAGAGGATTTTTATTTTTGCGGAGTTTAAGAAAATTTGTAGAATTTTTTGTAAGAAAAGTTAAAATTACACGATGAAGATGGAATAAATTATTAGATTCTTTTGTATCAATATAGAATACTGGAATTCTTGGACAGAACGTAGAGGAATCTTAATGTAGTCAGCAATTAAAAATTAACGATATCCTTCGAAGATTTAAATTACATTACATTAATCTTGATTTCGATATCTCTAGATATAGATTTTGATTAGATTTTTTATTACTGGAATATAGGTTATAAAATTTATATCTTGAAATTTGTAATTACGCGGTTATGTAATTTAGATTAATATGATGAATAATTTTAACGAGTTGTCTGAAAGTGGGTATTATTTCCCAAATAAAATATCACACAGTTTAACTGCGAATCGGTGTATTATAAAATAATAACTATACAATAAGAAAATTACAAATCGTGTTTCTCGTGGGTGTTCACAACCAGTATCAACAAATGTACAAAAATACGCTGGTCGTCGAATCAACCATCTTAAACGCTAAAACGTTACCAACAACTGTACAAAAAAAAAAATCTTTTTTTTCGAATATCAAAACAATCCGCTTCAAACTAAATTGTAATCATTGCTAAAAAACGTGTCCCTTGCACACATCCAGGCAAAAAGGAACTATTTCTTTCGTACACAATTTTTTATTCCATCCTCTTCACTCCTCCTCCTCCTCAAAAATATATATATATATATACACCATTCATAGATCACAAAAGTAGAAATTCTTGCACGTCATCAAATATGGATCACCAAAACAACTTCAACAGATTTTACAAAAAAAAAAAAATTCCAAATTCACTTCAATCATCCAATCCACGGAATCACACTTGGAAAATTAAATTGATTTAACTCAGGTCACATGATATTTCATTCTACACGCTCCTCTCCAATCCACTTGGCCATAATCAATCCATAAACGAACGAAGAATCGAATCCTTCGCCACGTCCTCGAATACGGGTCGCTCCTAATAATAATCGATCGTCCAGAATCCTTTAATGCCAACCGGAAGTCGGGTTGGCGTCCCGCCGTGGGCCCGCTACATCCGCCGCCCAGGACCGCAATTACGCGATCATTTTCACCGGTCAACAGCCTTGTAAATCTTCCGGTCCGGTTCCCCGTGGAGGACGCAGCCGTTCTCCCAAGGAAAAGGGTAGAAAAACACGCTGGGAGGATAATTCCTTCGGCAAATGACGCTGTAAATTCTTCCTCGACGCTTGTTCCCCTCTCTGTCTATCTTGATTCTAGGAAGTCACACGTTGTCCCTTATCAATGAACCACGATGGAACTATGTTTATACGATGTACAGGAGGACCCAAGCAGGTTCATGCTTGATAATTAGTAGACTGGAGGATGTTTATTTGTGATAAAAAATATATATATATATATGAAATATTCAAGGTACGTTGCGATGTCATTAAGATAATTGAAGAATGAGTTATATATATATATATACTTTTTTTCATACGTTGTTTTCATTCGTGTATAAATTTTGCATAAATATCCTCAATCTAATAATCGAACAAGATGTTTAGAAGAGGGGCGTTACAAATTTTGCGAAACGAACGTGTTTCTGTGGAGCGTATAGGGCTATTGTGATGTAGAAGATTAACTTTGGCAAAGTTATTATTCGATAATAGAGAACATAACGTGTTCTTTTTCATCTATTTAATTATGATTCTTTCATTGGAAAAGGTAATTACTTATTTTATACATGTGTAAAATATACTTTCACTTGCATCATCACAAAGATACGATAGTTAAAATTTTTGTTTGAACGAAATTCTAACTGTGCCAGAGGTTCTCTTCGACGTTTATTCATCTTGTTAATAACGAGGCTATCTTCGATCCAAGAGCTGCTCGATAAAATTACAAGTGTCACTTGCATCGGGAAAGGAAATTTTATCGAAGCCGGGATGGAAGAAGCTGTCTTTTAAAAAAATGTTCAAAACGTGTCGAGCGATTCAAGATCTCGATCCCTTTACGCCCGAAGGCAGAATAAAACTTGAGAGCCGATTTCAATGTGGCCGATGTTTACGAGTTGTACAGGGATGATTTAGCTTAAACGTTGGAAAGTTTAAAATGTTCTTCTCCTCCGGAGAAACTGGTTCCCTCCGACTGCTTCCCTTCTCCCATTTTAACTTTATAGAACGAAAACGTACGTACTTTTTATCACATTATTCTCCGCCAATAATTATTCGAAACAACTTCTTTCAAAAAAAAAAAAGAAGAAGAAAAACAGAAGAGACACATCCAACCTATTTACCTACCTCTTCCCTTTCCACCGATTCAACCATCCCATAAAACAACCCCTCCTCCCCTTTCAACAATAATCCAAACCCCTGTGATCATCAGCAGACCGTGTTATAAATCCCCTCCTCCTCCTCGGCCACGTTCGAAATGTCGGATATCTCGGATTGGGAGAGCGCCAACTTCACGTAACCCCTGTCCTTCTCCCTCGTCCCGTTCCTCCCCTCGGGCGGGGGCGGCGGAGGGGGCGGCTTCTCCTGCTGGGAGGCGGGGGCGGGGCCGGTGGGCTCGCAGATCTCCGCGTATATCTCCTCGGTCTTGGACGAGGGGGGGGTGGACGGTAGCGGTGTCAAGCTGTCCCTGACCTTGGAGTAGGGTGGATCCACGTCCTGCTGGGTCTGGACCTCGAGCACGCTCGTGGACACCGATCGTTGCACCTGCTGCCTCGGCGAGGGGGCGGACGGGTGGTGGAGGTTCGTCTCCGACTCGAGGCTCGCGTATCTCTCCGACCTCATCCCGATTTCGGGCCTGACGGCGAACGTGAACGAGGCCGACTTCTTGGCCGGGTTCCTGCCCCTCCGCCCTGGGCTATCCTCGAGATCCGGTCGAGGAAGCTGTGATGGTTGTTGCCGCCGCCCGCCGCACGCCCGTTGCTGCTCCGATCCCTGATCGTCGTCCGCTTGATGTGCTCCAACCCCTCCTTCAGACTCTGCAGGATCGGCTTCGCTTCCGGCTTCGACTTGATCTCCTTCAGGTGAAGCTCTTTCAATTGGCCGCCGCCGTTTGCGGCAGGCTTGGGCGGCGCCACCCGCGGCTCCGTTGCCCTCTGGTCCAACGCTCTCCTGGAAGAATTCGGCGGGGCAAGGGAGAATTCGTGAGATGTTGTTGAAGAAAAGTAGAGAAGAGAACGCTCGAGATGGTGCTTGGGGGGTGCTTTAACCCTTTCGCTACTTTGTTGTTTGCTTCGATAAAGAAAGCAGGCTATTCATCTTCAAACACTTTTTTAATTACACTTTGGAATATAATGGTATTGTATTTTCATTTTGAAGGGGTGGGACGAAATCTGTTCAAGAATAATGAATCCAGCGAACTGATTTTTACGATCGAGGAGCGAGAAAGAGTCGCGAAAGGGTCAAGTATTCTCGAACGAATCTCTCTGCTGCGAATGAAAATAATATCCTTTTCTTCCTTTTCACCTGCAGGCTGAAAGTAATCGCTGCATCTTGGGCGACGCGAGTAGCCGCGCCTCGGAGGGGCAGCCTAGCCGCGCCCTCTTCACTCGAGGCGCGGTCGGCCCCGTGGCGACCAGCTCGAGGAGTTCCGGGACCGTGGAATTCGGCAGGGGCCTCTCGGGCATCAAAGGTACCGCGCATCCCAGCACTATCGGGCCCCTCGTCGCGCCTTCCAGCTGCATCAGGCCGCTGTAATCTCGCGGCAAGGGTATTGGCAGGGGTCCAGCGACCAGTCGTACCTGATCAACGCATATTTTACGGCCTCGTTCGTTATTCGTGATCGAGGTGAGAAATATCACTAAACCTACCACGGCGCGGTCAAATGAAATTTCGTTTAGAATTTCTCGTATACAAAGTTACTGACATCGCCATACGTCACTTATTGACTTTTTCTATCTTCGTGTAGATACAACCCATTTTTCAATATTCGCGACTTTCTGTATTGTTTACTTTACGAATCCAATTAGCTAAAATCTCTTTCTATATTTTTTTGCAGCGGTCATTTGAATAGGTTGAATACACGAAATGTCGGTAGGTTTGGTGTTATATATTTTTTGTTTCTCAAAGATCCTCACCCTCAGAGGAAGGTCCCTTCTGGCGAGCTGGTGAACCCTGTAGAGGACAGCGTCGCTTCCGGTGTCGAGGCTCCCGCTCTGACAAGTCGCGTAGAACTCCCCTCTGGCGGAAAGGGGGGCGAACAGCTCGTGGCCGTGGGAATCCAGGCACTGGGCGTACTGGTCCCGTTCCGACGACCTCGAACTCTTGCCCTCGGCCGCGCCGCCAACCACGCCGGAAACGCCGCCCGAGACGGGCGCCCTCCGCGTGTCTTGGAAAACGGCGGCCAGCCGCAGCACCTCCCCCGCCCTCACCGTCGTCTTCGTGTAGTGGGCCCTCAGGTTGCCGTTCTCTGAAATTACGAGAACGATTATTACGAGAAATTGAAATTTTCGAATCCACGAATGGCAGGAAGGGTAAGTCGCATTTTAAATATTCGTCGGCGAGAGAAAAAATTAGAATTCGTGTTATAATTTTTGTTTCGTCGCCGGGTAACGTAAAGCGTCGCACCATATCTCAATTTACAGTTGGCAACAAAGCAGCTTCTCCACCTCATTATTCCAATTACCTGTCTCAGTTACCCACGCTATCATTAACAAAACGAGCTTCCATCCATCCGGTCTATTCCATTACTCAGCTTAATAAATCTTTTCCAAGAGTAACCAACCTGGCTAATAACAGTGTTAACCCCGGGAATTTTATCTCCTCCTAGAATTCTTCTGCTGGCGGCCGCTTCAAACGGTTTCCAACCTGCGCCTTCCTTTCTTTCTTTTTTCTTTTTTTTAACAACATTATTATTAAAACACCTACTTACCGAGCTGCCCATTAAAAGGCCTGCCTTACTTAACAATTTTCTCCGTCCACTTTATAATAATTAATTCCGATTTTCCAACACCGATTTCCAAGCGTCGATGATCACCCGTGCAAATTTTCCCCTCGAATCGTTTCACTTCCAAATTTCACCTCCCCCAATATCACGTGACAAGTGCATTACGTCGAGGCGTAGAGATGGCGCGACTGTGCATAATCGTCTGCCGGGCCTGTTACGTACGCCCCTCCCTCGCCTCGCCTACGTTCGCCGGCCAGTTCGCGCGCAGTTAACGCATTCGTGTCACGGCCAGTCGCTGCACCCAGGGGAATAATCCTGTGCCGCTGTGCTTAACTACGTGCGTGAGTGCACGCGTCGTATATACCGAAGCGGGATGCGTTGTCACGTCCTAGACGAGGGAGGGATAGGGACACAATCCTGGCTTGGTCGACACGTGGCCCCGAGAGGACGGAGGGATCCTGTTCGTTGAATCGTTCGTGGGGAAAATCATTTTGTGCGTGGAAATTTTTCTCTAACGCAATCGTTCCTTTCCTTGGGTGATCTTTGGTGAATCGTATTTGGGCGTTGTGAATTTTTACAGGGAGAGAGCAATATCCATCTCTCGTATGTGTAAAGTCTGTTTCTTAGAGTTTAGAGAGAGAGAGAGAGAGAAGGGGAAAAGGATTATAAAGTTGGAAATGATTATGACTGCGTCATAACAGTTTTATCAATCGTTTTCTCAAGCATTAAATCTACGAGGATTATCCGCCATTAAAATAATCATCGGAGAGTAGGATCTTTTTCCCAGGACACCGAACCACCATTAATTCTTTACGACGTCCACTTTCCGTTTTCCTTTTGGCAAACGAAAGTGCAGGAGTTAATCACTTCATAAACGAGTCATTTCCTCATAAATTTCTGCTTCTCTTCTTCGTTCACCGCGTTGCATCGCGTAATAATAAAGCCGTTTCATTCATTCTAAACAAACGTTATAGCCCCTTTCCGCCGATGATGGGAAACGCATAATAACACGTTCTAATTAATAAAACATTTGCCCTTTTTCCACACGTACCTGTTGTGAAAATAACATTGCATTCGTTTGCAATGAAAATTAAAAATTTTAAAAGACTACGTTTATATTAATAAATTAAGACGGAACGATAAACAAAAATATCGTGAAATATAACGGAAAATAATTGTATTATTATTTTCCACGATTCATCCACGTATTTACGAGCGAACAAACTTACCCATTTTTGAGTGCGTCAGAGTGTAAGCTCTCAGAGGTTTGGCGAGCAGAAATGCTGGGACCCCGGCTCGAACCAAGGCACCCACTCTTCGATACACCCTGGCACTTCCGGTACCACTGTTGTTCGAGACAACGGAGAACCAGCCTGCAACAGGAACAAAATACATTTCAAGCTAACTTAGTTACCACGAAACGAGATCACCATTGTTGTTCCAAATTTTTAGATCACACAGCAGTGATTCTCAACTTCTTTCTTTCTTTCACGATACAACACCTTTTCTAATAATTTAAAAATTTATGGTTTATCGATCGATATTATTTCGCGAAATCCTGCCTCTTCAATTCGAATGATCAGATAAATATTTGAATGTAGCGTCGAAAGAAACTTAAATAATTTCCATTTCTGACAGCGGCATAATGATCGGATTATTAATAAAATTCGATTGTAAATAATCTCTCCATTGATCACGAGTACACCGATTTATAATCCACTAAAAAAAAAAAAAAACTCGAAGCGATCGATCGATTCATACCATTTCTAGAGCGCAAACTTTCACGGAACGATGAATCGAAATCAGTCCTGGCACGGTAATTTTCGCTTTCGCTTCGCGGAGGGAAGGACACGCAAACGGTGGCATCTGTGTCACAGGCGCGAGGCTTGCTCGAGTGACAAACGTTGCTCCAGTTCCACGGGTGAAAAACCACGAGAGAAACAACCCTTTTGATAATCATCTTGCCAGATGCTCGCAAATTTCGCGAAACGAAACGAGAAGCGACGTTCATGAGACGTCTTGGTCGCACAAAGATAATTTATAGATACGCTTTACACGCGTTCTAATTGGACGGGTATATACTCGTGTAACACGTTTGAAAACTCATGTTAAAGAAAAATTGGTATACAAAAATGTTTCATTTTGATCAATTAAAGAAAAATAAACTAGTCTGCAACGTATCGTTAATAGTTTTAAAAACGTTAGGGAATTAACACGAGGAAAAATTGGAATAAAAGCATTGTAAAAACATCGATTGTGTTCCGAGAAAAGAATCTGGATTGCAATTACTAGCTACGAAGAATTCCATTTTCAATGGGATAATCGAGGGATAAAGTCGAGTAATTAGTAGCCACTTGGGTTTATAAATTTATCTTTAACAATCGAACAGCCTCTTTGTCTTTGGGCAAAGGAGGGAGAGATGAGATGGTGGTGGACGAGATTGTAATTTAATCTAGCCTGGCGCGAGCCCCGATCGACGATAAATTCCGTGGTTGCTCATAAAACCGGACGTGTTGTATCGGCGATAAAACACCCACGTATTTATAAAATACATTCGGATGGAAAGGACGTTTCGTGGAAAGGACGGGAACAACAACAATCATCGGGAACTCGCGCATTAGTACTAGCTGTAAATCAATTCAAGATGGCGGAAATACGATGTAAACCGCTTGCAAATCGATTCAGCGATTTATACGCCCCCATTGTACGTGAACATCGGGACAACCGGCCGATGTTTTTACACACGGCTATAAATTATGGGAAGAATCGCGCGTATATCCTCCAAATCGTCGATAAATTATTAATTTAAGCTTTGGAAGCGCCTTGCGCGGTACGATATGGTTTTTCCCTCCCTCCCCCTCTTTCTATGCTTCTCCGGTAGTAGGTGATGGAATGGATTTTTCTCCCCTTGATCATGGCCTTAATTGAACCAATGTTGTCGACTGACGAGATAATAATAAAAGATTTGAAGGGGAGGAGAAATTTTATATATCGATTTGCGTAGTAACGAGTAATGAGACGTGAGAGTGGAAAATAATTTGACAGGTTCACGGTTAGGTTCATGGATATTTGTTATAAACGTTATTTAATTAAGGAAAACGGTCGATTAATAATATTTATGGAAGATGGATATAATATAAATCTAAAGAAGAATCACAAGTGGAAGAAATATTCGCGTATTTCTGAATTTCAATTGGTGGGATTACAGTTATATACTTTTAATTGGATATATCATCAACTCGTTGAACAGACTAAATTTGGATAAATTTGCATTAAAATTACATTACATCACGATTAAAGATATATTTTGATTATGAATAATTATCGTTAATTACGATTAATTATTGCACAAAAAATTGTTTCTCCGATTTCAAACATTAGCCAAACGTTATTAAACGAGATATTTCGCGCCGTGGCCCGTTACTCAAACACGATACATCACGAGACGAGAAACGAGAGTATACGATGATATACATTAATGCATCACCGTTGGAGGAGTTCGTTCTATTACAGCTGGCTGGTACTGTTTCGTCATTAATATTCGATTAACCTGTGTCCCGTGAACAATGGAACCGGGAGTCGTGGCTGTTCTACGTGACGCGGTGTGTTTCGGCTCGTGGACCAACCGCTTGTGATTCTTCTTTTTTACGTATCGGGGAGGAGGAAACACGGTTGTATGGAAATTAGACCTGATATTACGAAATATCAGGATAAATCGTTGATCATTAAGGATCAGGCTCATTCTTTTTCAAACTTGTTAACAAAGTGTTAAAAGTTGATGGTTATTTTTTGACTCTTCTTATTATCGATATGTATAAAGATTATTAGGAAACGCAGGTGATCGTTAAAGGTGGGATTACACGTTCAAGTTATTCTTTTCTTTTTTTTCCAATTTCCTAACAGTACATTACGAAACAGTATAATATTGGAGGCAAAATTGCTTGAAATAAATTGTCCTCGTCGATCAAAAGATCAATTATCTTCATCCACATTCTCGTTGAAAAGAAGAAAAAAAAATTCGCATAGCTTTCTTTTCTCCGCGATACAATGGGGACACGCAACGTGTATACACACGTGTAACGCCATCTGGAACAGCGTTTCTCAATCATTTCACCACGTGACCCGACATAGTTAGGTTAGTAATCGTGATCTGATATTGTATGTTGGATATTTATGAACAATTTCTTATTTTTCAATTCAAAATTTTCAATACAAGCATAAGCATACGTGTAAAGGTAAAACGATGAAGAATAATTAACAGGACATTTTGTAAATATTGTATTCTATGCAAATAAGATATTGGACTTGCAGAAGACGATTATTTAAGAGAGTCAGAGATTATCAAGAGGATCAATCTAGTGCAAACTATATGATACAAGAGTGAAACGGTAAGAAGTAGACATTTTATTTAATGCAGCTTTTCAGACTGTTGGCCAAATTCTAAATCGGATCAGTTTATTCTCTCTTCGACGCGACAATGGGAATAAATTGAGAAATATCTGATCTATAGGTAATATCTGTTGATCTCTGATGCGTACCCACGCAGTAACCAATTACGTTGGCCAGAATTACGCAAGGAGAGCCGTATGCTAATCATTCTCGTTGCGAGAAATGAAAAAGAAATCGAGGGTACCACACCGATACTCATTAGGCCGGCCAACACATTGCCAAATACATACCGAACCAGATTATTCAGATCACTCTCATTATCTCGGAGGTCAGGGCAAGCTGGGAAGTAAGAATGAATTCCAACGTCGACGACTTTCACGTTGCATAACCATCCTTCTCTCTTCCTTTCCTCTCCTCTCTCTCTCTCTCTCTCTTGCTCCGTGCGTGAACGCACCCTGCGCGTTGTGCATCAGCGTGTAATTGATGCCCCATTACGAGCAAACGAATTTAGCTACCAAACGAGGCGATACTTTGCCTTTTGGAATTACGTGTTACGTGTTGTTCGTGAAGAGTGAAATTGAAAGAGATAATGAAACTGTGACGCAGTTATTAATCAGATTCTTTTCAGAAGAATATTCTTATCGTCGCGAGGAAAATTATCTAAATAAATACAGAAATAAATAAAAAAATAGAGAGATGACGATTTTGTCATGTGCGATAGATGGTTTTCATTCGATAATCAAAGTCAAGTTACGCTGGCCGCGATCGGTACTTGGATGGGTGTACGTTTTTATTAAAAATAATAGAATTTCCCGTATAATAATAGAATTTTGATTATTATTGATAATTCAAAAAAGATGTTTTATAAAGAATCATCAAAAAATTGGCATGGAATCCCATTCGATCCATTTGCAAAAAAATCCAATTCAAAAATCAATCGCTTATATAATAATAATCTTATTACGAATTGCTATACAAAACTTGGATAAAAAGATTAATCATTCTTATGAAACATTATATTTATCCATGATAATTTATCGATCTTTGATCTATCTTTCTTCTAAAATATATATAAGATATTTGCATAAAAAATCAACAAAAAAAAAAAAAAAAAAAGAAAAGAAGAACCAATGAAAATGGAAGTTTGCTGAAATTGAGCAACAATGAATTTTGAAGCAAGGATAAAAGTCAACTTTCTCGTCATCATCCCCTAGATTTGGGGGTACATTTTGATACTTAATCATTTATATGTTACATCACATTCGTAGAAATTTACTAAAGAGAGAAGGAGATTGAAGACAAATTGAACACGTCAGAGAGTGGGATGGAATTATGAATCATGAAAAGAGTTTTGACGTGTTGAAAGTGAAATCTTGAGAATAATTTGAAAATAAAGTTGAATCGAGGATATATATGAAAAACATGGTTTTATTGGGTGATTTGGATGGAAGAGGAAGAAATCTGGTTGAATGACGGGTAAGTAATATGAAAGGAAGATTGAGATTTGTTGGGGATAATTTCATTTTGATACGAGTTTCGATTCGTGAAAGTGAATTCGAAGAGTGAATTCGAAAATTATATTTAATTTTTTTTTCATTATGAAATATAGAGATCATATTTAATCTTCTTTCTTTTTTAACTTATAAAGAAAGCTGAAATATAAATGCTGGAATAACTCGTTTGACGAACACTTTCATTGCAACTTTGTTTAACTTTATTAAAAGATTTCAAAATTTTTGCAAATCGGTCCGTTATTATCATTCAAATACTTTAAATAAATATCAATAATTTATTTTACATCACCCTTTCACTTCCTCTTTGAGAAACAAAACTTTTTTATGACAGCATTCGTTCGTATTGTACATTCATATGTATTCAAATTCAGGATGTGATGAGATATGATACATTTGTTATCAATTTTGTGATCAATTAGAAAATCGAAGCTTTGAAAAAAAATCTACATTTCTTATGAAAAATCTTTGCAAATACGTCATCGTTATTATTTTTATCATTTCCATAATTAGAATACTATTAATTATAATTTTATATTTTAATTACAATCAGTATAATTCATCTTCAAGATCACCCATTGATCAATCAATGATCAATCTACGATCTACGTTAATGGTCAATAAATAATCAGACATCAACTTACGATCAAACAATAGCTAATCAGAGGTCAATTTACGATCGAGCACTTTATTAATAGCCAATCAATGGAGAGAGAGAGAGAGAGAGAGATCAACTCATGATCACTCCTCAACTAACTAACCTATTATCGACCAATGATCGATAACAATAGTCGATTCATCTACCAACCATTCTCACCAATTACTCGTGCTTTTAAATAGTCGAAAAAAACTGCACCAAAGAAACCGTAAGCCGACTAAAAACATAATAATACCAGCGAGATACAAACGTAATCCGAGATCACAAACAAGAACGGTTTCCAGGTCACGTGTTTTTCGTGAAGAAACACTTTCTTGCCAGACGATGTTCCCAAGATCTCTCGGCCGCATAACAATCAACGACGATGTTACCGCGTATCTGATAAACGCATTACGCTACGAGGGAGAGCTTCCGCGACTTTCGAGCGCAAAGCAAATGGAATTGAAACGGTATTGTAAAGACCTCGGTTCCCAAACCCGCTCACTCGAATGGCACGGAGCCTCGTGCACGCACGTAACGCCGCCTCGTGAAAGGCAATTTTTCGCGATATCGCTCCACTAGGAAGTCGATGAGACAACACCGCGTGCGTGTTCCACGAAGATGCGCCATTAACGCGCTCGACCGTGTGTTAACAAAAAAAGGAACGTTGCAATTTTTTCCCCTCCCGAAAGAAATCGAAATTTTAAAATTTCGATCCTCTGGATGGATTTAGATCGTTCCGATTTTAATTGATTAATCATTAATATTGATGATAAATAAAATTTTTTCGTTGATTAAAATTGTAACAATCGTTGCGTTGGATGCATAAGCAATTTTCTACGGATCTACGTAATCCAAGAGTGTCCCACTTTCCAAACAAGTAGAAACTTCCATCGCTTATCCATTGATCGGAAGTAAAAAAAAAAAAAAAAAAACGAAGTTGCAAACGTTACGATAATACATCGTTGTGTGTTTTCAGTGTTCGTTGCAGAAAGAAGAAGAAGAAGAGGATATAAATTTTTTAAAATCCAGTTTAACTTGGTTGAACAATCGGTTGACATTTAATGGCTGGTGCGCTTTCTTTTGGATTTTTAGAATATTATTACGCGGCTTCGATACGTTATATAAACACTCGTCGAGGAAATGAAAAGTTGATGCGAGAACGTTGCTCGTTTCACGATGATCTCTCGATCGAAAACCTTGATGGAAATTCATGGTACGAGGAAACTTGTCTCGTGTATAACAAGAAGAGCAACACAGGTATAATAAGTTTTCTATTTATGTATCACGCTTCGTATGAATAATTAATAAAGAATTTCCATTCCATTAATCATCATCCCATCTCGTGATACAAACATTGTAGATTTTATAATTTAATTAAAAGTTTTTCTCCCCGAGTAACTCGAGATAAAGTTAAAATTACAAAGAATTAGAATTACAGAGAACGAAAGGTGTTGCGCGCTCTTTCATCTTGAGAAAACTTCGTTTCACCGTCATGGTTCGCGGACCAGAAACCAGAGAAGTCGCGCCGATACTTTTCCGGTTGAACAGCTGTCATCGAGGGGAGAGTATCGCCTACGCGGCTATCGCTCACGTATGCAAAATAATAGAAACAACGCGTCGAGAATGGAGAGAACTTTCACGATTTATGAATTTAGTCGAGAACGAGAGTATCTACTGCACACGTGGAATATTCGCAGAATAAGAAGTGGAGATAAATTTTTATTGCGAGGAAATGTTAAATGTTAATGAAAATTAAATAAAAAACGTAACACTGCCCTTCTACTCTTTTTCTCCATTCTCCATATAATCCTTCCTCTTCCTGCTCTCTGCAAAGCGAAATAATAAATCAGAGTTGCCAAAACTCGAGCGAGCTACTGGAGAGGAAACTCGAGATCATTAATTATAATCCTCCCCACATCTTAATAATAATAACAGCCACTTTGATATTTCCTCGTCAAAACTGCATAAAGTCATCAGAGAGGATAAAACATCTCGCGAATCCCTAATTACTCATCTTCCAATCATCATCATCATCATCATCATCATCATCACCACCATCACCTACATCACCATCGCTCCTTGGATCGGTACGAACAACGGTTCCACTAGCCAGCGCAGCGTTCCGTTCATTCTACAAAATCCTTCACGGCTCCTCTAATTGGCCGTAGACTGCGTGCATTATCCGTTGGCCGGACCCGTTAGAACGATCCATTTTACAATTAAAAACGAATTAATCAATCCGACCGAGCGCAGTTTACGTAGGGCAGTCTCGGTCGCATTCGACGATCCCCTCTTAAGCCGCTCACCACGGTTATATGCCTGTTTCCGCCGTTTCAAACTCCCGCCTGAATAGTTCCACGTAATAATCACCGGTGCTGAAATAGTTGGCTCGTTTTTCAACCGAGTAACACACCGCGACAGTTATGCACACGGAAGGCACCGATCAACGCAGGAACGAGACCCTATTAGCGATGGGTACGACACCCTCGCGATACTTCCGTGGAACACGGTTCACTTTCTTTTTACCCGGCTCCGTGGATCGACTGATAAACGATTGGACTCGAGGGAGAATCGTTTTTAACGTTCTATGAAATTAAATTCGAAGGTTAAAGTTTTTGGTTCTTGGAATTGTGATACAAATAATAAGTAAATAAATAATAAAAAATTTCGTTGACAAATATTCGATGCCTAATGATTGTAAAACTAGTTTTAGATTTTGCTAGTCGATGGTATACGAAATAGATGACACATTTGGTTATTTAATGCCACGTAACAATTTGCAAGAAACAATACTGTTTCTTTAATATCTATAACATTGAACCAATATCTCGATGTTAAAAACTTTTATTTCGTTTCATATTTCGACATAACCTATCTGTCACACGAATCCCTCGTAAATCTCGTCTCGATCCAACGAAAGAGAATTAATAATTAATAATAATAATAATAAAGAAAGAAAGAAATATCGCGATCGAATCAAACCTAGACGACAAATTTTCGCAATCGATCGCTCGCAACGATCCAATCCATTAATCAACCTCGCGATCAGCTTGTTCTAATAAACATCGAATTATATATCTCTTACGTAGGCAGTAATCTCGACTTTCTATCTTGCGCCTCGGATAGACGTCCGTTCACGATCCTCGTAAAACCTCTTTCGAGCGTGCAAACCAGGCCGGGACGAAAAATTAAATCGATCACCCTCGCCCATAGCCCGAGGTTAGGTTAGCCGCGCTTATGCAACCGCGCGATACTTTCGAGAACGCTCGGGGTCTCGGTTCAAGCACAACGATTCAGTTAAATGCTTTCCCTCCTTTCCAACCTCCTTGGGATTACGACCTTGTCCCGGCTCTCTCGTCGAGCCACTCTCGATTTCTTCCGGTCTGGCCGGCCGTCGTTGTGTCCCTGTTAAGCTTTGGTCACGGTGAATGCGTTTTTCGACGATTTGTCGTTCCGACGTAGCTCTACCTCTTCGAAGAAATGTCGTTCGTTTTGTGAAAATGTTTCGAGGTTATAATTAACGCGTTCCATTTTCGAAGTGATTGGTCGGAATGTAAATCGAGTAAATTTTAGGTTAGGTCAAGTTATTCTTTGACGAATAAATAAATGGATTTGTGGATCGTGGATTTTTTTGATATTCCATCATCGAATTACGAAATTATTATTACGAAAAATCACCGTATGGATCTCGAGCTAAAGTTTCGAAAGAAATGCACGAAAGGAAAAAAATATTGAGCAATCGTGGAAAATTGGAGGATTACACGTGGAAGATCAGAATCGGTATAAATCTTGATTCTCCATTTATATACATCGATATTTTTCGAAAGTAATCGAAACAAGGATTCGACTATTTCTCGAAAGAATCGAGTTCCACCATTCTCCAGCCTTGAAATCGTAACCCGAACGATTGCCAGACCTGCTCTCGGTGATCAGAAGAATACCGCCACGATCCTTTCGAGCGAACTAGTCACGAGGACCCGCGAGGTGTTGCATGAAGAGAGTGTTTCCCAAGGAAAGGGAGCAAAGTGTTCGAACGCTAACAATACTTTTCAAAGGCTGTCACATTTGTGGACGTATTTTAAATAAGTTTCTCCATCTCTCCAAAATATATTAACAACTATATTTATATCAAAGAACGTTATTCATATTAATCCGTTTGGAGAAAATTTAAAAGTGGCGGTAATTGTTTCTTTCACAAACTAATCTATCATTCCACGCGTAAAGCGGGGCATCGTGCCTGCATTCTTGCCCCGTGGATAACAGTAAACAACACGTGCATTCATTTATCCGACCATTTCCTCCTCTCGCACGCGACACGCCCATCGGCCTGAACGCCGTCATAAATCAACCGCACGCAACCCACGAAATTCCCTGCACGCGAAAAAACCTTTTGCGAATCTCTGAAATGTCTCTTGATTATTTCAACATCACGCCTGTTACATACATAATCCTCCGATCCTTCGCTCGAGAAGTCGATACACTTCGAATATCGCGAATGAAGATCAAAGAGCAAGTTGCAAGAGGAGAGGAACAAAGCACAACGACCCGTAATTAACGGTGGGCCCCCTTCGAGGGCCCCGGCCGGGCCCATTATCGTTCAGCCACCAGCCAGACCGCTATTACTTCCTCCTACCATCGCCCCTGTTCCTTTACCGCAGGTCAAGGTCTCCACCGCGCCATCTATCGACGCAACGAGTTTAAAGGCCCAGAAGGGGAGGGGAGGGGAGGGGGACCAGGAAAAGGTGGCGATACCGCCGAGTCACGGTCGCGTGAAAAAGGCTCTCCTCCTCCTCCTCCTGTTACTGTTACGCTCGCGGGACAACGAGTCGTCGACTTCGTTTCGTTCATCTGGACGAGGAGCGTGTTCCACTGTCACGCTTCATCGGCATCACCGTCCTCTCCTTCGTGGCTCGTTGGACGATTGGGGATCTGTTTGAATCGACGAAAATTGTCGTAGCGGATGTTTTTACGCCGTATCATGGCCTAACTCTTCCGGCCATTGCGATATTATTCAACGATGAAAGTTGTTCAAGCTGATAATAAAACACGATATGTTCGTTTGGAAAACGAAGAATTATCAAAATTTTATATGAACGATCTTACCGTTCAACTGAATCCCTATTTTTGTCTTCCTTTCAAATCCTCTAATCGCGTTTAACCAGATCGTGTTACACCTCGTTTACCTCCTCCTCCTCCTCTCTCCCCCCCCCTCTGCCTATACTACCATCGTATCCACGTTCACGCGCACGCGTGAGCTGGCCAAGTTTCCACACGGAGCAAGGGGAGTGGAAAAGCACGAACCAACGTTTCCAACATCCCATGTGAACAAACTCTAGCGCGGCTACCGGTCCAGCGAGTCGATCCGAACGAAACGAGTCCTCCCCACGGCTTCCAACACGGGCGGAAGGGGATAGAAGAAGTTTCGCTGGAACGGTGCCTCCAGATCACGTAATCCGGTTAATCGCTTCCGGTTTCGCGTGGTGCTTCCAGTATTATTTATATGGCCACGCGAGCCAGATCGAGGCGTGCATATGATGGTGTTTGGGCCGTTTAACCCTTGATGATTGGAGGAATGATTCCCTCGTTTCCTAAAAGTGCAATGGACCTTGGATGTTTCATTTTGTTGGATTTAGTTTGATAATATTTTTCTATCTAGGATGTGTTCGCTGGAAGGGGGCGCCATCTAGCGACAAAACTGTTTGACCAGGCTAGTTAAAAGTAATAACTCGACGATCGAAGAATTATTGTCTTCCTTGGAAAATTTTAATCTTGACAAACAAGGTAGAAAATCTTTTTGAAGTGGCGGCTAGATGATTCAGTAGGTAACTGTAGTTCTGAACGAACTCTGATTGTGAATAATCGAGTAACTGTGTCTGAGGAATTGGGTGGCTGAGGATGACTGATTCGCTGGGTGCGATAGGTGCAATTGGGAAGAGAATTAGGCGAGAACGAGTGATCAGCTTGGTGATGATTCAGCTTGTCCAAAAATGCAGATCTCGCGTGATAATGTATCCAGATGATGAGAAGAAGCTCATCGTTCACGTTTCATCTAGATATACGGCCGAGGAAATTTGTTATAATGTTTCTACAACAATTTAGATACCGATTGTGGATTGCCTGTTAAAAATTAAAAGATAGACAAATACTTTTATACTTTAAAAATTACACATTAGGGATAATTGTAGATAAATGTTCGCGCGTACAATTTTTGCTTAAAGTTGGTTATTTCATCTGATAGACTTGAACTTGACAGGTGCTGTTGCAAATAGAAGTAAGAGTGATATAGGTGAACGAACCTGTATATAGCTTCGTGGTAATGGTAATAAAAAAAGCCAGATAGATGACCTTAAATGATCTAATTAACCGGCTGCAGTTACATCAGAGCAATTGGATTAATCAGTTACAGGATGTGATACGTTCCCTATTTAACTTTTATCGTCAAACTAGTTTTAAAATCTCGATCAACGATCTCGGCAAAGAATGTCCAATATAATACGATTAAACTGTCGAGTTTTATCTTATTCGTTCTATTATATTAATTCCCTTCCAGTTCGTTGCGCGTTTCTATTTGTCGCGGATTTCAAAATTGAAAGTGGTTTGTCACTTTCAGAAGACGTAAATAACAAACCTATTAAAATGATAATTTTAAGTTTCTCTCTCTCTCTCTTTTTTTTTAACTACTAAAAATAACTTTCATTGAGATGCATAATCTCTGATTATGCGTTAT